GTGTGTGTGTGTGTGTGTGTCATGTAAGCCATGTTCTCATGGCCATCTGTTAGCTCGTGGTTCCTCGGCGTCCTAATATTCCCCTCGACAGGCTAAAGAGGAAGAAAGAGGGAGAGGAGCATCCATCAGCTTCTAGGGACAATGTGTCAAAAGGACGAATGAGGAAAAAGATGGAGGGAGGATGAAAAGAATAAAAGTGTCAGCTTCAACATTTAGAACAAAAACATTTCAGGAAACTACGTCAACTATTCCAATCAGCAGCAGCGTGAGTAGAAGATTTGAAGCAGGAGAATATTTGAGTGCAAGCGCAGGATTTTGAGTGAGAGCATTAACGTGAACTGACTAAATGCTGAAAGCAGCTAATGCTAGATGGCTACTGACTTGGTTTGACGTAAACTACACCTGATAGTCCTGCTGTTATTCCATCATCCAGAAAAGTGAAAGGATTTGTCTTTGTGACATTAGTGCAGAGATACAGAGGTAAAATACCGACCGATCTGAGAAAACGGTCCCCTGCTGTAGTAACTATATTGTGGTTTGTACTCGGCCCTGTCGAGGAAGCGTGGCTGTTAAAGAAACAGACACGGTGCCAGTGATCGCATCCCCCCTGTCTTCTCTCCCGTAGAGCTCAGAGGCCGTTGTCCAATGGCTGAGCGACTTTCAGCTGCAGGTCTACGCTCCAAACTTCGTGGGCGCTGGGTATGACCTGCCCACCATTAGCCGAATGACCCCAGAGGTAAGGCACCTGAACCCTGACCCCCTGAGGTCGCAGCCACCTCCAAGGACCACAACGGAAAACATTGGGATTTGTGCTGTCCTCGATGTTTTCCAGATGCATGTGAAATAAACACGATTAAACCACTCAGACAAAGTCTCTCAGCTGTCCTCTCCCTGCCCTGACCTCACCTGGTGTTGACCTCCTGACCCCTTGTACCCTTGAAACTGTCGTCACTGCACCGGTAGTCAAAAAAAATCGAATCTGTTAATTAATGTAAAGTAGTTTTCCAATTTGGAAATAATTAGAATAAGAAGCCTTTCCAAGGACCAGCTGTGTTAATTGTTGCTGGCTGTAGCTTCATATCCAGAAATTTATAATGATTCAGTTGCTTCAACAACATGAACTGATGAAAACAAACTGCAAAGCATCTTATACTCTTTGCTTTCATTCATTTTATTTCACTCAAAGTTAAATGTTGAAGTGTGCAGATAAATAAACGCAGCTTAATTTACGACAGATGTAAAAATGAATCCCTGCGCCCCCCCCCCCCCCCCCCCCCCCCCCCCCCCCCCCCCCCTGACCCCCCCCTCACCTTCTACACTGCTGCCCCTGCTCCGAGGGACGGGAACGACTCTGCCACACTCACCTACAAACAAATAATTTATGGCCTTTATAAATTATTTGTGCACATGAGCTCACTCCTGTTGTAGTTGTGCATGATGAAGAGTTCAGGGCTGAGCTGACCCAAAAAAAGATTTGTTACTGGAGGATAAAAGTCCTCGTCCCTTCCACAGTTTGTGTCACATCTGTATCTTATGTATGAGTAATGCAGCTGTGTGTGTGTGTCTGTGTGTGTGTGTGTGTGTGTAAACAGAAATCGTCAGTGAGTAAGTTTATTCACAAAAGAAAACATGGACTTGAATATAGATGTGCTCACGGAGAATTGGATTTTTTTATTTTTTTGACTGCTTCCTTTTCCCCCGAAACATTTTTCCTTTGCTTCCTTCGCTTTTTTCTGCTACATTTTCATTTCTGCTCTTTTCTCCTCGACCGGCAGAATCTTCCATTAGACGTCGCTCTGCCTCTCGTTTCTCTGTGTTCGGGGTTTTTCTGCGTGTGTTGATGAATGAATGAGGGACGGAGACTGCTGGCGTGTTGGAGGTTCCACGTGTCACTTCTGTACCTGCTGCAGTCCTCACGTGTGCGTGTTTATGTGTGTTCAGGATCTGACTGCGATTGGAATAACTAAACCAGGTCACAGGAAGAAAATGACCTCAGAGATCAACAAGCTGAGCGTCACAGAGTGGCTGCCTGATCAGAAACCTGTGAGTAAAACACAAACACGCACATGATGACCAGAGGCGTTTACCTGGTAGAGGGTTAGACGCTGACGGCACATGACCACTTCCTCCCACTATCCAGAAAAGTTATTTCCGGTGTTCCTGCTGGACAAAATAACAGTTTGAATGTAGTAGTTGGTACAACTCATTATAGACTGTAAATAAAGTTGGACGACGCGTCTTCACTTCCTCCCACTTTCCAGAAGTGAAGCCAAAATATCCCGGATACAAACGCCTCCATTTTGTGCGTTTGGAGTGTGTGCAGTGATGATCGGGGGATGGAGACCTATACTGCAGCCAGCCACTAGGGGGCGATCAAGACACTTTGGCTTCACATTTGCGGAGCAGTCATGTCGCTCATCTTTGTTTACAGTCTATGGTTATTATAATAGTTCTAATGGTAGATCTGTTAATTGGTGATTGGTTCATTGCTGGCTAGCCTGGTGACCAGTCATACTCCTGGTGTTCCTATAGGCCAATCTAGGAGAGTGGCTGTCTGCCATTGGTCTAAACCAGTACCACCAGGTGTTAGTGCAGAACGGCTACGAGAACATCGACTTCATCACTGACATCACTTGGGAGGACCTGCAGGAAATAGGCGTCACAAAACTGGGTAAGTCGTACAGTTATACTCCATGCTGCCTTTTTTACTTTGGAGTATAGAGTCACCTCCTCGATAGTTACAGTTACCCCCTTCGAAGCATCAGAACGTCATCACGACTACAGTACTGAAAGTCTTCCTCGAAGTCTTTTCTAACAAACGGAGCTGCTGTGATGGTAAAAACTTTACTGAGAACCGGGAGCGAGCAGAGATAAGTGGTTAGTGGTGGAGTGACTCTACATTTATTGAGTCCAGGGTTTCCAAGGTTTTACACATTATAACACATCATGTGTTCAAGATATTCCTGGTCTGGCGTCGGCGTATTTGGTTGGAGGGCGGAAAGAGGAAAGATTATCATACAAGTCAAATTTGGTGTCTGTGAGCAGCATTAGCAAGTTGAATAGAAGCGGCCAAATTAAGTTTTCTCCATTGGCTGAGCTCAAGTCTTAGAGACACGGTGAGAAGTTCAGACATCAACAATTAGTCACATTCTACTTTTCCTAACTAAATAAGACCGTGGTTCCTGTCTGTTGATGATAAAGGCCACCAGAAGAAGCTGATGCTGGCGGTGAAGCGACTGGCTGAGATGCAGCGCGGATCAGATGGTCGGGGCTCCCTCCGAAAGAAGCCCCCACCAATCGCACAGCAGCAGGAAGTCGCGTCCATGGACAGCCCGCCTCCAGAGGGTGAGCAACAGACGACAGTTTAATCATGATAAACTTCTAATAAGATCTAAACTTCTGTATCAGTGAGATCATGCACTGGTCAAACATCCTCTCCGTCTCTTCAGAGCTCATGTCTCCAAAGATGAGCACCTTCCAGGACAGCGAGTTGAGCACCGAGCTACAGAGTGCGATGACGCAGCCATGTCAGGAGGTCAAAGCTCAACGCACACGCAGCGTCAGTAAAGACCATGATGAGGTGACGGCAGGAGGTGGGGGAGGAGGCACTGGCCCGCCTAAGAAGGAGGCACGGACTATGAGGCAGCAGAGTAGCCAGGGAAGCACCTCCTCCCACAGGGGCAGCGCCTCCTCTCAAGGCAAACACCGTCACTCCCACTCCCACTCCCAGCCTGCCCCTCCCTACACGCCGCCTCACACTCCCACCAAGTCTAGAACCTCATCTTCCTCCTCCACTTCCTCCGTCCAGAGCACAGCTTCCTCGCAGTCCAAAACCAAACCTCAGTTCATCCATGGCGAGAGACCTCAGTCGCCGCGCTCACACCCCCCTCAATCTCCGACCCACCGTGGCGCTCCGGGTCCTCAGCCTCAGCAGCAGCAGCAGCAGCAGCAGCAGCCGCCTCCGGTCCAGCCACCGCAACAGGCAAACCCTCAACATCACCCGCAGGCGCAGGGGACGGAGGTCCGGGAGAGTCCGCAACCACAGGTCCCTCTCCTCTGCCTCCCGCCAGAGGCCGAACTGGCCGAGGAAGAAGGAGCAGAACCCTCGGCGCTCCAGAAGAAACGTGCACACAGTCTCAACCGATACGCCGTGTCGGACGGCGAGTGTGATGACCGGGCAGGACGCGGAGGCGGAGGAGGTGAAGGAGAAGCGGATGCGGCTGTGAGTCAGAGCTCGATGGTCGTCAGAGGGGAAGGAGGTAAATACGCCACAGTGACCCACCGCGTCAGTCGCAGCCACTCTGTCCGAAACCAGGACAAGAACGCCAACCGCAACCAGACGCTGTCCTTCGCTCTGCGTCAGAAGAAGAAAGGCCCACCCCCACCCCCGCCCAAACGCTCCAGCTCAGCCATCTCCAGCTCCAACTCCAACCTGTCGGACGCCAACGCACAGCAGCCCGCACTCACCACGACAGGCGGGATGCTGGATGTGCCTTACCACCAACAGCGGCGAGCCAGCGATCTCGGAGTGTCCGTGGAAGCCGGTGCTGTGGAGACGAACAGCATGGGTAGTGTGAGGAGCATCGCCGCCATGTTGGAAATGTCTTCTATAGGGGGAGGAGCCAAAGGCATGGCGCTGCAGAAGAACTTCCTGCAGGTATTGTGGAGAACACTTTGTCTGAGTCATTGAAGGTGATGATGTCAGGTGTACATTGTTACTGATGTTGTTGTTTCGCGGTTGTGTGTCCACCAGGTGGGAAAAACGCCACGCGACACCATCGGTCTGGACGGCGAAGTGGTGAACCGACGGCGAACCATCAGCGGCCCCGTCACTGAGCTGGTGGCAGCCGCCAGGCGCAACCAGCCGACTCCCTCCGCTCTTCCATGTCCCTCCGTACAACCTGAACCTGAATCCTCCCCTCCCGCTGTAAATTCGTCCTCGCCACACCCTCCGTCCTCCCCCCATCCGAGTTCTGGAGGCAGCGGCAGTTCATCGGAGAATCTGCCTTTTGCAGAGGAGGGAAGCTTAACGATCCGCCGCCAGGGCCGAGGAGAAGGAGAAGGACAGGTAGCTATCTATATACATGTATATATATGTGTGTCAAATCTATCTCTCTATCGTTCTATCATTCTATCTATCGTTCTATCTCTCATTGTTCTATCTCTCTATCTATCATTCTATCTCTCTATCCGTCATTCTATCTATCTCTCTATTGTTCTATCATTCTATCTATCGTTATATCTCTCTATCGTTCTATCATTCTATCTATCATTCTATCTCTCTATCAATCTAGCTATCGTTCTATCTATCCGACTATCGTTCCATCTATCTGTCTATCGTTCTAATTATCTATCTATCGAACTAGCTATTGTTCTATCTCTCGCCTACCGTTCTATTTATCATTCTATCTATCATTCCATCTATAATTCTATCTATCGTTCTGTCTATCTATTGTTCTCTCTATCCATCTATCAATCGTTCTATCTATCTCTCTATCGTTCTATTGTTCTATCTATCGTTCTATTATCGTTCAATCTCTCTATCATCTATCTATCGTTCTTTCTATCTATCTATCAACCTCTCTATCGTTCTATCTATCTATCGATCTATTGTTCTATCTATCTATCATTCTATCTCTCTATCCATCTATTGTTCTATTTATCGTTCAATCTACCTATCCATCTATCGTTCTTTCTATCTATCTATCAACCTCGATATCGTTCTATCTATCTATCGTTCTATCCATCCATCGTTCTATCTATCGATCCAGCTATCTATCTATGTATCTATCTATTGTTCTGTCTCTCTATCTATCTATCATTCTATCTATCTCTTTATCTTTCTATCGTTCTATCTATCCATTTAGCTATCGTTCTATCTCTCTATCCATCTATCGTTCTTTTTATCCATCTATCGTTCTTTCTATCCATCTATCGATCTTTCTATCCATCTATCGTTCTATCTCTCTATCCATCTATCTTTCTTTCTATCATCTATCGTTCTATCTATCTATCTCTTTATCTAGCCAACGTTTTATCTCTCTATCCATCTATCATTCTTTCTATCCATCTATCGATCTTTCTATCCATCTATCGTTTTATCTCTCTATCCATCTATCGCTCTTTCTATCCATCTATCTATCGTTCTTTCTATCCATCTATCCTTCTATCTATCATTTTATCTCTCTATCCATCTATCGTTCTTTCTATCCATCTATCCTTCTATCTATCATTTTATCTCTCTATCCATCTATCGTTCTTTCTATCCATCTATCCTTCTATCTATCGTTTTATCTCTCTATCCATCTATCGCTCTTTCTATCCATCTATCTATCGTTCTTTCTATCCATCTATCCTTCTATCTATCTCTTTATGTATCTATCTATTGTTCTATCTCTTTATCCATCTATCCCTCTATCTATCTCTCTATGTATCTATCTATTGTTCTATCTCTCTATCTCTTTATCCATCTATCGTTCTACCTATCTCTTTATGTATCTATCTATAGTTTTATCTCTCTATCCATCTATCTATCGTTCTTTCTATCCATCTATCGTTCTATCTCTCTATCCATCTATCCTTCAATCTATCGTTCTATCTCTATCAATCTATCGTTCTATCTCTCTATCTCTCTATCGTGATTTATTGTAATGTAGTACAATAACGTGATTTGTTGTGTTAGTATTTTTGATGTTTTCCATTTATCAATGTTTTTGACTATTTGTGAAAAAATCACCCCTTGTCACGAATGTATGAATTTTCCGTTAGTGTGTATTTTGTGTTTGTCTGCAGGGCGACGGCGAGGGAGGTCCCCAGGGAGATGGTGGCTACACCCAGGAGGACATCGCCGGCATCGAGGCCACGTCGACCTTGAAGCGACGGCCGCGCGGCTCCAAGCCCCACCCCAACGGCTCCGACTTCACCCTCCAGGAGTCGTCCACCGTCAAGCGAAGACCCAAGAGCCGCGACAAGGAGCCCGAGGGCTACGCAGAGCTGGCCGCCGCTAACGGAGAGCCCGTGGAAACCGGGTTGCCAAACACCACGCAGCCAGTACCTTACCAGAACGGCACTGCCACCATGAAACGCCGCACGGTGCCCGGTGGCCCAGATGCTGGAGTGACAGAGCAACCCCAACCCCATCATCAACCCCAACCCAACCATCAACCTCAACCACATCATCAACCTCATCATCAACCCCAACAACAACCCCAACAACAACCCCAACCCCAACCTCAACCGCCAGTGACCGCTGCTCCTCGCAGGGACAGCGTGGATGTAGGAGCCCCAGTGGTCAATGAAGGAGCTCCGCAGAGGAAACCGAAGCCGCCAGTCTCCCCGAAGCCGGTAGTGGGGCAGATAAAGAGAGGACCACAGACGCCCCCACAGCCTGCCAACAAGAGGGTCCCGCTGCCGGGCCCTGGCACACCCGGAAGTCCAGGTACTTAGATCAGATCCGTCCATTCATTAGCTGTCCCCTCCTTAAGGGTTGCGGGGGGGAGGAGTCACACTGCAGTTACGTCCTGGAGCCAAAATTAGCTCGGAAATAACTGCACACTGATAAAAAACCAAAAACCCAATGCTCGACTTGAAGAATCTCAGTCGGTCACTAGGGGGCAGCTCTTGTAAATTGTTCTTTTCTCTCTCTCTCTTTTGTAGTGGAAGGAAAGAAGATTCCTCCACCTGTGTCGCCGAAACCGGTGCCCCCGCCCACGGCGCCCAAACCGTCCAAGCTCATCCACTCCATGACCAGCCCCCCCTCCCCGACCCCAGCCCCAGCCCCAGTCAAGCAGCACTCTGTGGTGGCCCGGCAGACCAGCTCGCCCCCGTCTTTCCCTCCCTCCAACACCCCCAGCCCTCCCAATGCCAAACCGACGAGCCCGTCTTCCCAGAGCCCCCACACGCCGCAGACCCCCACCACGCCACTGACTCCCCAGACTCCCGCCACTCCCAGCCCCACCCCGCCGCCCGTCAAGCCCCCTCGGTCCTCCATCGGGGGTGTGTCTGTGGACAGCGGGATGGTCGGCGGTGGGGTGACGGCGCCGGCTGCTGCGACATCACCGGACTTCTGTGTGGATTCTCTGGTGCATCAGAAGCTGGAGGAGACCAGTGCGTCGCTGGCCGCGGCTCTGCGGGCGGTGGAGGATAAGATACTGCGGCAGGAGGAGTAAGGAGCACACACACACACACACACATTCACATTCACATGTACACACAACACGCTACACAAATAGTCACAGGTGAGAAGCAAATATTTTCTTTTATTTCGTATTTCCACCTTCTTTAACATGTTTTCTTTGAGAATCATTTCTGGAACATAATGAAAAACATGTTTAAGGAAAATTATATTTATGAAGGAAATTTGGTGCAGACCCAAAAAAAATCCAGATCTAATTAATGAAAATGTGATTTCATAATTTAAATTTTTTTTTTGTGTGTTTGTGACTTTAAGCAGTCGAAAGGTACCGGACCGATTTTCTTGAAACTTAGCAGACAGGTGCGGTTTGAACCAAAGACGAATCCATTAACATTTGGAGCAGATACGATCAACGGGTTTTACTCTCTTTGATTTGTTTTTTCAAAAACGAAAAAGAAAAAGAAAATGTTTAATCAATATATTGATAAACAATCAGCCTCAACGATGGTGGATCTGCTGTTAGTGTAAAGTACAGGCAGGCATAGCAACGGTAACTAGGGCTGGTGGTGCTTAGCAACAAACAGTGAGCAGGGTGAGATAAGAAACAAAGATCTTAAGAGTGTGTGTGTGTGTGTGTGTGTGTGTGTGTGTGTGTGTGTGTAGCTCTGTGGCTGAGCAGAAGACCACAGTCAGTATCCTGGACGACATCGGCAGCATGTTCGATGACCTGGCCGACCAGCTGGACGCCATGTTGGAGTAACCATAGAAACCGGTCAGCATGTCTCCATGGCAACGCTGCAGCAGGACCAACTCATGATGGCACAATGGGCGAGATGCCTCTCTTCCTCTCTCTCTGTCTCTCTCTCTCTCTCTCCTTCTATTCATCTACTCTTCCAGTCGTCCATCCATTGCTGCTCTGGAATAACCTCGTTCATCCTCCTCTTCCTCTCGTCTCCTGTTGCTGATGAAGAAAATGACGACGGAGCGACGCAACAGGCCTGGACGTGACGTTGGCGGTGAGAGAGGGCGTGCAAGAATGAGGGATGGACAGAGAGAGAGTGACACTAAAAGAGAGGGGTTTGAAAAGAAAAAGGACCAAAAACGACTTATGGGAAAGAGAAAATAAAAAAAAAATGGCGATGAAGAAGTGAAAGAAAATGGAGGAGACTGCGTTTATGAACTCAGCGTGGACTCGAACAAATAAACTAAACTAATACTGATTGAAAAACCAACTGTGTGATGAATCATAGTGTGGTATGTGTACATTCTAAGCATGGAGAGTTTATATCTATTGACAAAGTCCTGCATTAGCACACTAATATATAATATACCGATAAATATGAATCTCTAGCTCTTTGGTTTGGTGTCTTGGTTCTGTGTGGAATGGTGACCTCTGGTGTTGTGACGACGTAAATGACTTGGTGGAAAATTTTTTTATCTGTGACCAAAACGGGACTATTCAGCTCCTCAAGTGTGTGTGTGTGTGAGTGTGTGAGTGTGTGTGTGTGCGCGTGCATGTGTGTGTGTGTGTGTGTGTGTCTGATAAGGCCCGTTTAAAAGGTGTTTGTGGATCGTCAGAATTTCCTGATCAAATCCAGATTCCTGTCCTGGCTGCATCCATCCTCATCGTCACCTTCAACACACTCACTCACACACACACACACAGAAGAAGCACAATGACCCATGCAGCCAGCTCGCACACACACAGACACACACAGACACACACACAGGAGCCCGCACAATATAAACTAATATAACGAGAGAAGGGGAGGGAGAGAGGCGAACGCAGGATGTCCTGGAAAGCAGATGTTACGTGTTGTGGATAAAGTTGGCACCACTGAAAGTTTGGGGAAATGGTTTCAGGATGCAGTTGAAAGAGTTTTAGTAAAACGAGGTTGAGGCGGTGGAGTGGCTGAGTCTCGGGGTTAAAGGTCAGATCAGGCTCGGTTGGTCCAAACCCCCCCCCCCCCCGCACAATACAAACACAAGCACCAGAGTCAGAGAGACGAGCCCAGATTCACCCGACTCATGATACCAGTTATTCCACTGGAAAACAAAACAAAGAGCATAGCAACAAACTTCAGGTCCTCACATCCGACATTTCAATTATTTTTCTAAAATCGTATCATTCAAGAATTAGAGATTCTAACGAGATCACACAGTTAAAAAAATCCTCATAATTTCCAGAGTGTACAGTCATTTTCCAAAACCCTCAGAAGCTGGGACGCACTGATTCGATTCAATATGGTTTGTTAAAAAATATTTCAAAAGCAGTTTGTGTTCAATCATCCTGTGAAGAAGTCGAATTATCTAATTATTTAAAAATCCATGATCTCATGTGATTCGATTCTTGAGGATATGTCTTAAAGGAATCATTCACAAAAAGTATCGGCTCCTGTACAGAACCCTGTGGAACTCCATGACTAACGTGTGTGTGCACGGAGGAGTCGTTGTTAACTTTGGAATCTATCAGTGCGACTTGAACTGCTGCTGCTCCTTCACGTGCGCTGGACTGGGTCTGTCCTAGAACCAGCTGTTAACATCTGTATCAGGCTGATCTCAGTGCGTCCCTTCTCTAAGATCCTGCATCGAAACGTTCCCAGATCCACGAGTTTAATTTCTCCAGAATATAAAGAAAGAAAAAAAAAACACAATTCACCCTTCATCCCACTCTCTCTCTCTCTCGACCGCCCACCCCCTGCTGCCATGACAATCTACACCA